TTCGGGAGGGAGAATGGAGTAGGACTCGGGACGTTTGAAATATGGGAAGTTTTTGGAAGGGGAAAGGGTATTTATATGGAGTTTCTAGAAAGGTAACAGGCTGTTCTTCAAAGGCCCAAGCCCAAAGTTTTAGACTTTTTCGTAACGGCCCAACCCTAAAATAACTAGAATGGTTCYRACTGGAAAAGATCAATGATCAAATTGGAATAATTAAATAAGGGTTAACAGGGCCTAAAAAGATAAAAGATCGTAGTAATAGATCCTCTGTGAAGAGAGTCACAGAGTCCTTTAAAGCGATGAGCTTAGAGCCTCTGTGAATCATTCACAGAGCCTCTGCGAAACAAGTCTTGTGCAAAGTCATAGAGCTTCTGCACAAGGTCACAGAGCTTTTGTGCAAGGTCACAAGGTCACAGAGCTTTTGCACCTAAATCCAGAGCCTCTGTGTTCGCTACCAGAGCCTCTGTTCAAGCCGACGACTACAGAAGGAWCGAASTCTAAGTAAGGGTAATTCTACATGCTTAGCTCCCAAGAACACTCCCGAAGAATGGTCCTAACCTGGAATCTCAAGAATGCAGAGTTGTTACACAAGACCACTTATTAATCCTCTCTCTCATTGATTTGATGATGATCCCTTTTACTTTATAAAGTATAGTATTTTTATTTATTTAGTTTCACCGATCATCACTGAGTCTGTTTAGTGATTGCTGAACACGTATTGTAACTCCTTCAGAAACTGTTACACTTCAAGAAGACAAAATTCAAGCCAAAGAACCTTCAGCAATGTCGAAGGCAGAAACTGAAGATTAGAGACTAGCACGTTTGTGATCTAAAGCGGCATTCAGTGATTACAAGCTCGTCTGCATATGTGTGAAGACTGCTTAAGTTTCAGTGAATGCTGAAGAGACCTCCAGTGTCATCCTAGCATTCAGTGATCAAAGAGGGGCTCTGATTCCAAAGTGTTCGTGACATACAGGCTCTGGTATTTAGAACCAGAGGCTTTGCGTGCAAAGGAATGTATGGCATAAGTGAAATACAAGTGTTCCAACGTCCAGAGACTCTGACGTTTTGAACCAGAGGCTCTTGTATAGAAAACTTGGTTTATTTGCCAAAATTTGCCACTTTTTGCATGTACCAGAGACAAAAAGTGGTGTAATTCAGCATACCCATCTAAGGCTTTTTTGAAATGGTCAGCAAGTTGGATATCTGTAGAAACAAAATACATCTCTATAGTTCCCTTTTCTTCATGGTATTTGAAGAAATGGTACCTGACATCAATATGCTTAGTTTTGGAGTGCTGCACTGGATTTGCAGAAATTGCTATTCATAATGGAACCCATAATCTTTCAGTTGGATTTTCATCCAGAGCACTTGTGAACAACAACTAACAGCAGCAACATACTCTGCTTGTACTATAGTTGTTGAGACACAATTTTGTTTTCTAGATGTCCAACTTACTAGCTTATCGCCCAGAAGTTGACAGCTCCCAGACGTACTCTTTGTATCAACTTTGCATCTTGCATGATTTGCATCTATATAGGCTATTAGATCAAAGCCAAAGTTATTTGGATACCAGAGGCCAAAATAAGGAGTCCCTTTTAGGTATCTAATGATCCTCTTGACCGTAAAAGATGAGACTCTTTGGGATTTGCTTGATATCTTGCACAAAGACAAGTAGCAAACATTATATTTGGCCAACTAGTTGTTAGGTACAAGAATGACCCAATCATGCCTCTATAGGTTTTTACATCTACAGTGTTGCCTGATGGATCAGAGTATGACTTTGATTCGCCAGCCACTGGTGTTCTCATAGTTGATGAATTTGAGATTATATTTCTTTAGAAGATCAATCACCATTTTGGACTGATTGATGAATATCCCTTCTGAAGATTATTTTATTAGAAGACCCAGGAAGAAACTAAGTTCTCCCATCATACTCATCTGTTGGGTTCAAAGGTGTACTTTGATTATTGTATTCAAGCTTGTTTCTACTAGTTTTTTATTAGTGTAGCTTTAATGCTTTCTAGTATAAATAGGGTAATTAGTGTTAAGTTTGTCATTAGGGTAATCATTACAATAATTCAATACAAAGCATTTGGGTTAAAATTCTCTCTCTAATTATTCATATTGTTCTTCAAGATTATCTGATTTGGTGATTGTTTGAGACACACAATTGGTATCAGAGCTTGTTGCAGCAATTTGATTGAAGTATATATGCTTTTTTTGAGAATTTTTCACACAAAGTTCTAAATTTTTGCAGATTATTCATACTGTTCATCGAAGTTCTAGAGTTTATCGGACAAAACATCTAGTTTTCTACCCTAATCTCATTCAATTTTGTGTTTTAGGTGTTAAAATTTTGATTATTGCGTACGCTTTGATGATTTGAACAGTTGTTATTCACAAATTTTTGCAATTTGATCAATTTTTGAAGAGTTTTTGAAGGATTTGTGATAAATCGAAAACTTTCTGTTCGTATAAAATTCATATTTTTTCGAGTTTTTGATCCATTTTGGCTTGAAAGTTTGTTAAAATTTGTGTTTGTGCTTGAAGGTAAATCGGATAGTAGAGTGATCGTATTTGTTTGAATCCGTATAGTACTTTGTTCAGTTTGTAATCTGAAATTGACTAAGTTGACTTGTGCGATTTATGCTTAGTTCGTTCAAGAGTGTATGCAATTTAGTCATTATCCGTGTGAGCTTTTATCCGATTTAGTTTTAGGATTTGATTAAGTGTTAGTTGACCGATTTAATCGTTGATCGGATTTTATCTTTGACTTTTATTGTTGACCGGATTAAAGTTTGACTATTACTCTTTGACCAAATTTGAATTGATCGAACTTATTTGTGTTGACTTTTGTTGACTTCGTGTGTTGATCGTAATTGGATATTGATTGAATTTTGTGAGGTGTCATGTGTCTGGATATCATATCCGGATAGATTTGTTCTTATCTTAGTTGTCCGGACTTCCAATTCGGATCAACTTGTCCGGATTCCTAATCTGGATAAGGCTAAGTGTGATATTTTTTTCTAAGTGTTGTATGCTTAAGAATTTTGTGTGTGATTTTTGAGATATCATTGGATTTCAAGTTTTCAAATCAAATTTTGAACTGCAGAGGTCCTATATCATTGAAATCAGATAAAATGAGTTCAAGAGAAGCAATGGCAATTGGTACTGATACCAAGCCACCTGTCCTCTTTAGAGTAGATTACAATCAATGGAGGGACAGATTTCTGAACTTCATTGAATGTCTGACGGATGGAGAATTAATCATATGGCCACGTGGTGAATGAAAAAGGAATCCAAGTTGATCCAGCTAAGATTGAGGCCATTAAGAAATGGGAAGCCCYRAAKACACCAACCGAGATCCGCCAATTTCTTGGATTGGCAGGTTATTACCGGCGATTTATTGAGAATTTTTCTAAGATCGCGCAACCACTAACAACTCTAACCCAAAAGGATAAGATGTTCATTTGGGGAGAGAAACAAGAGGAAGCCTTTCAGACACTCAAACAAAAGTTATGCAACGCACCGATCTTGGCCTTACWAGAGSGAGTAGACAATTTTGTAGTCTATTGTGATGCTTCACATCAAGGGATGGGATGTGTACTGATGCAAAAGGAAAAAAGTTATCGCATATGCATCGAGACAACTGAAGATTCACAAGAAGAATTATACTACTCATGATTTGGAACTAGGAGCGGTGGTGTTCGCACTCAAGATCTGGAGACATTATCTCTATGGTACTAAGTGCACTATTTTCACGGATCACAAGAGCCTTCAACATGTTCTTGACCAGCAAATGCTCAATATGAGGCAAAGAAGATGGGTTGAGCAACTTAGTGACTACAATTGTGAAATAAAGTACCATCCAGGCAAGGCTAATGTAGTAGGCGACGCTTTAAGTCGAAAGGAAAGGGTAAAACCGACAAGAGCACGTGCTATGGGAATGATGGTTCAGACGAATTTAAAGACTCAAATTTTTGGAAGCACAAGGAGAAGATCTAAAAGAAGAAAACATGAAGAACAAAATATTGCAGCACTTAGAGAAGGAATCTGAATCCCGCGAGATGGAGTGCATTATTCGGGACATAAGGTTTGGATACCTAAGGTTGGTGATCTTAGATCAATAATTTTGGATGAAGCCCATAGATCAAGATACTCAATCCACCCAGGAGCAGATAGGATGTATGAGGATCTTAGGGATCACTATTGGAGGCCTGGCATGAACAGAGACATTGCCTTATATGTGAGTAAGTGCTTAACCTGTGCAATGGTCAAGACAAAACACCAAAAACCGTCTGGTCTACTCCAGCAACTAGAGATTCTCCAATGGAAGTGGGATCTGATATCAATGGGCTTCGTTACTAAGTTACCTGGGACTAGGAAAGGACATGACTCAATCTAGGTCATAGTGGATCGGCTTACAAAATTCGCTCACTTTTTACCTGTTCGAGAAAGACTTTAGTATGGAAAGGCTTGCACAATTATATATCAATGAAATCATATCGCATCATGGAGTATCTATTTCTATCATCTCAGACAGAGATAGCCGTTTTACTTCACGATTATGGCGATCAGTTCAAAAGGCACTAGGCACGAGGTTGGACTTAAGCACTCCTATCATCCTCAAATGGATGGGCAATCGGAAAGAACTATTCAAACGTTTGAGGATATGTTGCGTGCGTGTGCAATAGATTTTGGTGGGAGTTGGGATACCCATCTTCCCCTTGTTGAATTCTCTTATAACAACAACTATCACACCAGCATACAGTGTGCACCGTACGAAGCCCTATACGGACGTAAATGCAGATCGCTGCTTAGCTGGGTAGAGATCGGAGATAGACAGTTGACAACACCCGATATTATTCAAGAAACCACCGACAAGATTTCAATCATCAAGGAGAGACTCTAGACAGCAAGAGACCGTCAGAAGAGTTATGCGCATAATCGCAGAAAGCCGTTAGAATTCCAAGTGGGGGATAAAGTACTTTTAAAGGTATCACCATGGAAGGGACTAGTACGAATCAGGAAGGGAGGCAAGCTAGGTCCCAGATACATTGGTCCATTCGAAATACTCGAAAGAATCAGACCGGTGGCGTACAAGTTGAAGTTGCCACATTTAAGTGCCATCCATGACACATTCCATGTGTCGAATCTGAAGAAATGCCTAACGGATGAAACAATAGTGTTACCCCTGGACGACGTTCAGATTAGCGATCAGTTACACTTCATTGAAGAACCAATCGAGATACTGGACCGAGAAGTTAAACGGTTGAGGAGCAGAAAAATCCCTATTATTAAGGTCTGCTGGAATGAGAAACATGGTCTAGAGTACACTTGGGAGCGAGAAGATTTCATGAAAGGCAAATATCCGCAACTGTTTGCAGAAAAATCCATTGGCAGTAGCATTCGTTAAATTTCGGGACGAAATTTCTCTAACAAGGGGAGAATGTGACAACTGTCAAATTTAAACTTCCAGGTTAGCTCTTATCAAGTTTATATTAGTATTATTGAAAATAATTTATAAGATTAGGAGTTAGTTAGATTAGTTTGGTCGAAAAATTTCTAGAGATTCCGGCAGTTGCTTAGAAAGTCCGGTTCCGACCCGTAATTATCTGAAACGTCCTATACAGTGCCAATTACTCTAATTTATACGTAATTTATATAAAACACCAAGTTTTAGTGTTTTAAATATAAAACCTTTTTACTTAAATGAATTTAGCCATTATGGGTTTATAGTTTGAGAAAAATGACATTCTAGCATATTTGGGCTTAATGTTAAAATATATATATATATATATATATTGGACTTGGGCCCCCATGGCCGGGCCCCTCCCCCCCCCTCCTCCTATTACCCACATATAAATATCATCATTTCTCCAATTACAACTCATTTTCTCATTTCAAATTTTGAAACTCCTCTCCCTCTCTCTCTCTAAACTCAAGAGTCACCTAAGAATCATCTTCTTCATCCTTCCTACTCCAGCCCATTTCTTCATATTTCTCCATCAGAATAGCAAGGATTTGAAGATACTACATCCCTCACTTCAACAATCAAGGTAACATCTTCATCTCCCTCTTTTTCTTGCAAATTTTGAGAGAAAACCCCACTTTTTATGCATTTCTATCTACTATCTTCTAACCTCTGAAAACTCTGAGTTTTAAGGAGAGATTACACACCAAAAACATGTAAAAGTGTTCATATGATGGTGGTAATCTATGACCCAAACATTAGAACTCAAGAAGATGTCTAGAATCATGATTTTATGTGAGTTTGATTCTTAAAAATGGCATTTTTAGGTGCTGACAGATTATGTGCATGTGCATAAATCGTCCATATCTTGAAAATAATATCTTCAAATGTTATGTTCTTTTAAAACTTTATTTATTGAGTTGGAGTTGTAATCCAATTGGTGTCACTCAAAAACATTCAGTTTTGACTCCCCAAATACACAAAACATTATATATGTGCATCTGAGAGTTTTTCAGTAGGTAAACCGTACTTTAAACAGCCATAACTCTCTAGATAATCATTCAAAAGCATTGATTTTTCTTCCAGAAGTTAATTTAATGAGTTATCTTTCAAATGCCACTGATATAATTAAAAAATGTGGTGATTTGAGGTTTTAACTACTCAAAGAAAAGTGAGCATGCAATATGTCCGAATCTGACATATTTGTATATGTATGTTCCAATGACCATATCTCTTTCATAACTCGATGAAAAAGGATGATTCTTTTTTTGAGAGTTAACTATATGAGTTATATTCTACATGAAAGTGAAATAACATGAAAATATGGAGCTTTTTTCTCCAAACACCTAAAACACTTTAGGTGTGCAAACTGTGAAACCATCAATAGGCAACTCCTACTTTGTATGCTAATATCTCTTTATTTACTTGCTCTTAGTGTATGAATCTTCTTCTGAAATGTTCTTCTATGAGTTAGGGTTCATATGAACCCGGTTTCACTCAAAAATATGAAGTTTTGAAGCAGTAACCAATTTAATTAAGTTAAGTGTGCAATATGTCAACTAATGACAGATGTGTGCATGTAACTTTATGGTGCAATATATTCCTCTCAACTCATCCAAAATGAGTGATTCTTAGTTTAAAAGTTTCATTTAAGTGTTAGGTTTATAATCCAACTTGAATTTCTGTAGAACACTTAGTGAAACTCTTTAAATGAGTATTTTACTAACGTGGTGTAATCTGCCATATCAGTTGTGATATATTGTATTGCATAAATTATTTGAATCATTATTTAATGTCCAAAATTATGAAATTTGGTCACAATGACCATAACTCAGTGCTATATCTCATATAAAAATATAGGAAACTATCTCATTCTAGAAGTCTATGAATTGATCATTTTATGTATCATTAGTTTCTTCCCAAAAATGAGATTTTGGGATTATTTTATTTTGTGAATTTTGATCTTTTATTGGACTATAGCATTATTTCCTGTATAAATTACTATATTAACGAGCATATGGACATTATGTATATTTGGACTATAGATAATCAAGTTGGACATAAGTAGTTTTAAACCCATAAGTGACAGTTTTGGATATTCCTCTTTGATAGGGAATCGTTAAGCTCGTGTGGTGACCGGATCGTATCTTTAATTTGCGGAGCTTTGCAAAAGAGTGAGTTTTCACAGCCCCTTTTTACTATTTTTCGCATTTTTGGGGGAAAATCATGTATAAAAATAGTGATGATTTGTATGCAATATTCAATGTGTTTAAAC